GTGCGTCGGCCATAATTGCATAGAAAGGCCAGGAGGGCAAGCATGTGGGCAGTGGCAAGATCGGGCCAGAGACTCCACCACAATGCGGATAGGATGGCAATCAACTGTAGTGCGCAGCTCCGCCAGGTTACTCGGGGCAGGTCGGAGGTTCTGGAAGAACATCCGAACAAGCCTCGGGTAAACTGGGTAAGTGACCGTGGCTAGAATGGCAGAAATGCCCCTACGGTCAATGTCCTCATCGGCTGCCCGAGTTAAGATGTACCGGGAGAAGAATGAAATATCAAAGACAGACTCATGCGCCACTTTAAGGCGTGAGTATCTCGGTAGCGGTCTGTCAAATGCCTGGCCCGGCTGTGGATGGGGCAGAGATGGAGAAGGTAATGGAGTATGCTCAGCCTCATCGTGGGTTGATGAGGATGCAGATGCCGAAGAACGAAGTTTAGAATCGTCTAATGCCGAAGGAAACGAAAAGAAATATAAAATCCTTCAACCATAAATAATATTAATTCAATCCTCCAAAACTTTTAAGGTTACAACTTGGGAATCCAACTAGTGGACCCCTAAAGAAAATCTCAACTGAAACTGTAACTAGAAAATAAACCAAGTCTAAAGCATGGAATGAAATCCTACATCATCGATAGAATGAATGAGAGTCTCTACTTAACACGATCAAGCCTCAGACTGGAACCGTCTGATACCTGTAAAAATAATAGAAGAGTGGGTCAGGCCCACGAGCAAGTTCTAATCTAACTGCAATCCATACAGTGACCCGATACGCAGATACACCGTAGATACCTCACAATAACTATCTAGTCCATACATAAATATATCCACACTAAGGGACATTCACTGGTCTATAATAGGGGTCTTAACCTGAATAGAAGGCAACATACAAAAACGCACCCAAAGATGGGCATGAGTACCTAGACCTAACAGGGTACACCTCACCCTATTCTAACCAGCTATGTATCCACTACATATACGCACCCTAACCAATGAGTCTAAGACTCAAGCTCATCTTGTGGTACCATAAATATATATATAAACTCCGTCCAAAACCAGGGTATGTAGTTCAATTATTTATCGAACTGACATGCAATCACAAATTAGTTAGTCACTCAACTTATTCAGTTGATATGACTTAACCATTATTCATTAATCCAAGAAGCCACTCAACTTAGTTACAGTTGATTTGACTTAAGCACAATTAGGATTTAATAATTTTAAATCCATTCCTTTAATCTGTTAGGTTAGGTTTAGGCGTTTTGGGCTAAACCGTCCCTAGTATGTCACCGTCCCATACCGGTGCATACAATCCTCCATATCCTTCTAACTTACATCATATATATAACAATTTAGTAATTTACAATCCAAAACTAATATCTAAATAATTGCAGAAAGAAGATTAACAATCTAGCAATTAAAATCCATTATTAATCCATGTAATTGGATAAAAGAATTTAATATTCTAACAATTAACATCCAGAATATGTATAGTTTCAATTTAATATAATAATGACTCTATCATGTATTTAAAATAAGTTCTATAATCATATTATAGTCCAATAAATCGCTAAATTAATTTAAGCAATTTAGTTCATTTCATTCGGTAACAGCGTACTAAGTTATATACTTATCTTCTGTTTTATCTTTTAGCACAGAGCCACACACTATGCCACAGGTCCAATTCATTAATTAAAAGACTTCATAGTGCATTTAAAATAAATTTAGAATCATTTTATAGCACCCTAAATTGTCAGATTAAAACTAATCAGTAAATCTCCTTCCAGCCGTTAACCGCACGCAAAGTGGTCAAATAGCGTACTGTTAATTCTTTTAAAACTAAGGAGTAAATTTATGCAATTCAAGACCTTAGTTACATGTTAAAATAATTATTTAAAAACCCATTAAATTTCTAAAACTGATCAAGAACCCCAAGTGGCCAAATAGTAACTGAAAAGTCACTGTACGCACAAAATAATAAAAGAGCATGCTCTAGAAAAGTTGAGCAGGCTCAATGCAGCATAGAGCCAGCTCTAAACCTCTTTGGAGCCGGCTCTAATAGGTAAGAGCCGGCTCTTGACATTCCAGAGCCGGCTCTCCCCCCCCTATGAGCTATCTCTCTATTCTAGCTTCGTTTGCTCTGTTTCTGACCTCTGCTTCAACTCCGGCCAGTTGCAACCTTTCTATTTGGTTTCTAAAACTAATCTTAGGTGTCATATTAATACCCAGTAGCATCCCAATGGCTTGATAACAACAATTAAAATCAATTATAGAGATTAAATTTGCTACCGAACTATCACGCGTTAAGAACAAAATTGAAACTATAGTTCTATTCTAACCCCTCTGTTCCTCTTCACAGACTAATCTTAGGAGTCTTATATCATCCCATTAACATCCCCATGGTTCGTTTACAGAAGATAAAAGCAAGAATAGTAATTAAAATCACAACAGATTTTAGCATGCTTTAATGAATAGAACTGGGAGCAACCATACACGAACTGTAAATAGATTTGAATTTAAGGCAAACAGATCATCAACAAAGCATATATTAAACCTGTAAGTCTCAATTACTAATTAGTTAAATCCTAGAGACTATCTAGGTGCACAGAACACAGGCCAACGGGAGAGAGAAAGAAAAGAACTTGCCTGTGATTTCAGTTATGAAATCCCGACGTCGTGTCCGCTGTTCCGGCAACCCCGAACTACTGTCAAGCCTCCTAGTACTCTGAGATAATTCACCACAATCCTTCCTTGGTCCTCTCTAATTGCCTCCTTGCCAATCCTTACAATGCTCTGTTCCTCTACCCTCTATTTTTACAGAACAACTCTGCGTGTATGTGCTATGTGATATAACGTAAACCCTAGGCTTAAAGCATAATGGTGTATTTATAGGCTTAATACTAAAACCCTAATCCTTGTTATAAAAGAGATAGAGCCCTAAACTTAATCCTAGTCGGCCCATAACAAAACCAACGATTAAATTCTATGTCGGCTACACCAGACGACGTCCTTAAGTTAAAACCTAATATAATCAATACCAGAAATATATTACAAGAAATAAAATAAAACAGTGAATGAAACAAAAATATAATATCTTTAACAATTTAATTCAAATACCATTTAATAACCTAACCAATAAATTAAACAATTAAACACACCAAAATAACCAATTAAACAAATAAGTAACAATTAAACAAATAAAAATCCATTAAAATAATAATCAAAATACCGAGACTATCCTTTTAAAAATTAGGGGTATTACAATCGATGAACTTTTGATCAATCGAAGTATCCTTGTGATCGATCGAACCTGTTGAATTTTCACACTTTGCTTCAATCTGCTTTCACTTTGCTCATTTCTTCCATCCAGCTTGAGTTAGCTTCTTTTAAGCTCTTATTTGGCCGAATCAGCTTATTTTGGGGATAAGCACCTAAAAAGGGCAATAACATGAAATTAATCTAAAACGGGAAAGTAAGATAGATAAGGGTCCTAGAATACCTAAGCTTAAAGGGTTTAAATGCGCACTTTTCAGCGCTCATCACCTGGTAAACCCTGACAGTAGCGCTAATATTATAATTAAAGTAGTCTTTGAGCAATTGGAGATCCCATCATCATCAATTAGATCCACTTCTAGCCCTTTGATAGGATTCGATGGAACAAAGGTAGATCTCAAAGGGATAATAGATTTATTAGTCACTACTGCAAAAAGAACACAGAAAAAGAACTTCATTCTAACAGAAATTCACCTTTCCTACAATCTTATCACGGGGATAGGGTGGATTCACCAAATGAATGGAGTACCATCCATTTTGCACCAGGTGATGTGATACTTGTCTCCAGATGGGAAAAAAGTCTTCAATCTTTGGGGAGATCAAGCAGCTGCAAAGGAATGTTATGTGTTGACATTGAAATGAGCAAAGAAAGGAACTACAGTACCTAGATCGAATGCATATTCTAATGGAATTGCTAAATAGCAATTACAGAGCCTTCTGCTTAAGTATTTGGAAGCAGAGGCAGAAGCAGCAAAAACCACCGATGAAACTGTCGAAGTTATCCTCGGCAATCCACAGAAAGTCACTTATATGGGTTCTTCCCACTCAGTAGAAGAGAGGGAGGTCTTAGTTGATATCATCTGAAGAAATGCAGATACATTCACCAGGATCCATTCGGACATGCCAGGAATTAACCCTTCGGTCTCATGCCATAACCTAAGAGTGGATCCTTCATTCAGACCTGTCAAACAAAAACATAAGAGGTTCGCTCTTGAAAGAAATCGAATCATTGCTGAAGAAGTAGATAAGTTGCTTCAGGCGGGCTTCATCAGGGAGGTACATTACCCTCAGTGGCTCTCGAACGTAGTGGTGATCCAAAAGAAGAATGGAAAGTGGAGAGTTTGCATAGATTTCACCAATGATAAGCGCCGAATATTGCATATTCAAGCGCCCTTATTTGCATTAGTTGAATCTATTTATGATTTATATGTATAGATTTTATCCAAGTTCTGTGTTTCTATGAATTTTCAGGTTGCATTCCAAATTGGAAATAAAATGGAAGTTTTGAGGCTTTCTGTAAAGATCAGGTCATTCCGGGCTGTTGCACCCGATGATTGCCGAGGAAAATATGCTAAAGGAGATCCAGGAAGCCTGTAACGACCCGGATTTCTCAACCCGGTGCGTTAGTGATGAACCGGAAGTTGACCCGATAACGGACCCAAAATGCGGAAGCAAAAGAAGCCAAATGACCTCAAGAGATGTACGTCATCCCTAAGACCCCAAAATGACTCTCTATGAAGCCACGGAACTAAAATGAGCCAAGCAAATGAAGCAAGAATGCCTAACCCGAAAAGAGATGTACTAAGGGCAAAATGGTCATTTCTCACTGAAATGGGTGCCACCGTGCACACCATTAGAAGGACAACGAAAAATGAACAAAATTAGACTCAAGGATCGTCTGATTCTGAGTCTGGGCAGAAAAGATATGAAATTCCAACACCCGATGCGAAAGTTATGAAGCAATGACTTAAACATTTTCCAATATTTTCATAATAAACTTTGAAAACAAAAGTGCATTGAAAATGAGATACATGTCATTGGCCTCCGGCCTCATCTCATACATGTTAAATACATTGAAAAGAGTTCACTTACGTACACTTTACATATACGAATTAACGAATACAAGTTTAAACAAATAGGGCTACAAAGAGGCATCTTATGCTAACACTTGCATAAAATAGAAACTTAGAAACTGTAAGCCATCCAAGGAGCAATGGAATCTTCAAATCCTGAGTCCTGTACCTGAAATATGCCCCAATATCGTAGGGGTGAGTAACATAAAGCTACTTGTAGGAGATGAACATGCGTCGACCTAGCATTTTACAATTTTATCACTTTATGGTGAAACATGTTAAAGAGGCTCATGCCACCTAACGTCTATGTCAAGATGAGACCCAGGGAGCATCCTAAGCTCCCTAGATCATTTATATCATAATCACATTGTTCATGCAATTCAAACAATATGGAAACATGTTATACAAGGCAACAAGAAATAGATTCTCAAAGTCTTCAACTTGAAATCCAAATTACGAAAACAACAAGTGTGGGTCATGCCACCTAACGTCTATGTTCAAAATGAATCTATAAGGTCATTCCTAAACTACATTTGAACATCAAAACACAAATTATGATATCGATGCAATTTAACCAATAATGGAACTTCCAATACAACGCATGAAGCATGCTTTCATAAAGCTACATCTTAAGCTCAAAATAGGAAATCAAATAAGGAACAACAAGTTACGATATCATCTAGTTATCAACTTGAAATGAAATACGAAATCAAACAAAGTGGATACTAGGACGTCACGCTGGATCAGACCGACAACATAGTTACTTTAGGGTTACTAGCCCATGGGTAACCTCCCTATGTGCGCACTAGACTGTATAGAGGGACAATCCCCCGTACTAGAACCAAGTCCTAGCTGTAGCCAAACAACGACATCCCCAAATTTCCAAAATCAACAAATTGTGCAACAACGTATATATATCAACATGTATATACAAGATATCAACTATTTACCAAGCACAATCCAAATTTTGGAAACTTATACAATACGAGCTCAAAATTCACAACTACTATAGCATGTAAGATGTTAAATACAAGGTGTGCAATTCCTTACACATAGCAACAATATATTCAATAAGGAAAAACATATTCTCATGAATATAAAAGTAACAATTATGTTATCCAATGCTCAAAAGTAATCAAGTGAACATACATCAAATCCAAATCCATGATTTAAATATAGAAACAACTTCCAAAATGCAATTAAATTCATGGAGTAATAAAGTAGAATTTAATTAAACATAAATAGTTAAATTCTCTAAATTCCAAATTAATCCAAATGACCTCAATTTAATATATATTGAAAGACATGTCATGGTCATCATATATATAACATCAATGACAAGTTAAGTGATTAAAACACTTAAAACAAAATTAATCAAGCTAATTAATTAATTTCCGCTAAATTTTTAAACAATTCCAAATGCCCTCAATTTAATCTATGTTAGAGAATATGCCAAGGCCTATTTAAATACCACATTACAACTTGATTTAATGCTTGATACAACCATGTGAATTAAACTTTCACTAAAGATAAATATTAAATAAAAGTTGTAATTCTTAATCAAATGATCCAAATTTAATATATGTTAACCAACATATCTAAGCATAATTTCTTAGCATGTTACAATTCAAATCAAAGTTATATATCATCATAAATTTTAAATCTTATACAAAGAAATAAAAATTACTAACTTTCTAGATTTGATACAAGGCATATATATATGTTATATAATCATGGCAAACACACAATACAACACACAAATAATCCTAAAACATTCCCTACCTCAATTGGAATGAAAATCCAAATTACCACCGAAATGAAATCGCCCCAAATTTTCGGTCCGCAAAACAGATTTTTCAGCTTGCTACCTTCAACTTGTAAAATTCAAAAAAAATTCAATTCTAACCCAAATTGAATTAATCTAAAGCCCAATGAGAGCTTAAACACTTTAATTTGATAACATCAATTTAGTTTAACAAAATATTTTCCCAATTGAAACAGTTTTGCCCCACAACTTTGAAACAAATTATGCCCAGAAAACACATTTTCAGCCTGTAGCTTCCAACTTTGAAAATTCATAAAAAATTCATTTGACATCCAAATTGGGCAAACCTAATTTATTTTGGAAGTAAACATATGAGAGTGTAAAACTGAAAATTTAAGCCATGATCCAATGTCAAAAGGTTAGTGAAATAAATCATCTAAAAATATTTTTTCCAGCTGCAATAAAAACATGGACAGTAGATAGTTTCAGATTTTAAAAAAAATTTAGAAATGCTCTAAAATCGTGAAAAAATTCTGAGTAGTGTACCACCTATGGACGAAGTTCCAGTAAAAATTTAAAGGCAATTAAAGTTCCACAGATCTACATAAAAATTCATTTCCAGACCGAAAAGGAAAAGCTTCAAATTTCCGACAACTAGCTTGCAAATTCAAAAATTCATAACTAATTCATTTTAAATCCAAATTACATGAAACCAAAACTAAATGAAAGCTAATTGAGTATATTTTCATATTCTATATTTAATTTAACAAGATTAATTTCAAATTAAAATAGTTTAAGGGCAAAATACAAGTCATTCTCTTCTATGCATGTAAAACACTCAATAATGACATAAAAATATTTCAAAATAATAGATCAATACCTCACTAGAAAATTGAATCTCTAGATACCAAAGCAAAACTAGGAGTTAGCCTAGATCCTTCAAGGTTTTTGAAGAGGAGGATGAGGGGAACAAAAAGTATTCCAAGCTTTATGGTCTAAAGTAAGTGGAAGGGCCTCAAAGATCAAGGTCAATGCCTAAGGCTTCAAGCTCCATCCATGGAGGCTAGGGTTTTCTTGTAAGGAAGAGAATGAAATAATGTGGTTAAGTGTGAGTGGAGGAAATAGAAATCCTCCACTCACTATGTGCTCTTACACCATGATCAACAGACACATCTATGGTCAATTGCACAAAAACCCTCCTTTAAAACCATAATCCCAAAGTGGCCCAAAGATATTTGCAAGACTAAATTGTGAACCTACACTTGTCACCAATCCATGACTCCTTCCTAGGCTTAATCCCACACCTACATTTGTCAACCATCTAAGCCAACAAGTGCACTAATCCTAGGCCAACAAATAGGTAAATCCTCACTCTCCAAATGTCATCATCCAATGCATTAAAGTATTTCCACACAAATGTCAACAAGTGGACCAATGAGAGTGGGACACTTGTCACACTTTTCAAAAATTGCAAAAAGGTCCTTTTTGAAAATATCTTCCAAATTTAATTGAAAAATGGTCCCCAAGATGAAAAATAATTACTTTATTTAATTACACTAAAATCCCACAAGTTAAAAATAATTACACTAAAATATGCATTAATGCCCCTTTATGACAGAAGTAAGCAATCAACATGCTTTTCTAGAAAAGTAAAAATACCACTATCATGGAAATCAAATATCATGAATGCATGCAAAATCGGAATCAAATCCGAGCACAAAAAGTGATATTGTGCAAGGAAAAAGGATAAACAAGAAAAAGACAAAATGTGAATAGTGTTCGAAAAAATAAAATATGGAAATGACACAATCCCTAAAGGAAGTTGTCAATCCAAGGAAAAGAGTCTCGGAAATCATTCCAAAGCACTCGAGACGACATCAAGTGATGAAAAACCAAACCCAAAAAGGAAAAGACAATGAAAAAAAAAATTCGTTAAAATCTGAGAAAAAGAAAAGGAAGAAAAATGACCGGGTCATTACAAAGCCTTCATCAATGCAAAAAAGAAAAAAAAGGGCCAATGCTAATTCCATATGGGAGAAGTCTAAAGAAGAAGAAGTCAAAAATGCAAACTGATGCACCTTCGAATGCTTGAAGTACCTTCTTCGAGCGCTCGTGCGACACATACGAGAAATCCACATGACCTGATCCATGTCATACGAGCGCTCGGAAAAGCTTCGAGTGCTCCAAATCAGGACAGAATGGTCCAAGGCACCTTCGAGCGCTCGTCCATGTTCTCGAGCCTGCAAGTTTTTGTTCCAAGGCACCTTCGAGCGCTCGAAGGAACATTGCAGACCCACTTATGCCTTAATTCCCTCAATTTATGATTTTCCTCTTTTATGAGTTGGTCGGAGTTGTTCTTTTCGAGCAATAGCCTCGATTTTTGAAGGGTTTGGTAGACATCTTGTCTACAAAAAGAAGAGGTGGAGCTTGTATGAAGGGATCTCAGATATTTTGGCAAGATTGGAGGGGTGAAAAGGGAGAAGAGGAGAGAGTTTTGCGTGGCTACAAGGTAAAGCTCAAAAATAGGAGTTTCCCCCAAGCTTCTTCCTTCTTCTAAGGCATCCATGGGTAACTAACTCTTCCTCTAGGGAGGTGATGATGCCCTCCCTTGTAAGCATGCTCTAGCTTAGTTCTAATTTGGGGATTGCAATGTATAATATATGGTCTTTTCATGATCTAGAACACTTCATTTGTTGTAATGGATGTTGATGTATATGAATGATTTTTCTAAGTTGATTATCTTGTTTTAGATGATGTCTTATATTAATCAGATTGCTTATGTTTTCATAGTGACAATGAAAAAAAAAGGGTTATGAAATGGTTTAATGGCATGTTGATAGAGAACTTTGATAGTCCATTGCTTAGGTTATCCCTTTGATGGTTTATGCTTAATTCCTAGCTTCATGTGCTACATCATTTCATTAAGGACTTGATAATCTTTCACTTAAGTAAGTGTGTTAAGCTGCACTCTAGTTTAGGTAGTCTAAACATATTCACCTTTGATGGATTATTCTTGTTTTTGATTTAATGAACTTCTTGAGGATATTATAGCAACCAAGTATTGCTATGTATCATGACCATCATTTATGTTATTTCTCACCGAACTAGTTCTAATTTAACATGTGTATAGGGATGGCGGTAGATTCACTTCCCTAGTCTTCTTTACGTGTATTTCATCTCTTTCATCTCTCGCAAGCTACTGTTTTTTGCATTCTTCAACTCATAGTTTTAGTGACAAACCAACAAATCCTCTATAAACCCCTTTATCATTCTAAAAATGATTCTAGACACTTAGGTTACCATAAACTAGCGGTCCTAGTGGTTCAACCTACCCGACCAATCGCCCTATTTTACAATGATTTGTGCTATTGCAAATGGGTTGATTTATAATTGATAATCGATCCGTCGATCAATTTTTGGCGCCATTGCTGGGGATGATCCTCATCGACCCCGGAGCTATACACTAAAATCCACCCTCCCTGAGCGCGTGTGGTTCTTTGACTCCGTGCTTAAGCACAATATCTGCCCCTTGGTGCACAGTACCGAGCGCAGAGGTCTGATGTTACAGGCTTTGTATGCCCTGGACCAAGGCCAATGGAGCTTTATTTCGGAGCTCATTTGGAGCCAATTTATGCAGTTATGGGATGATTGCCTTAACTCCCAGCATCAACGAGCCCAAGCTTGGGCTTTGCCGTTACCCTTCTTCATTACTAAGCTTCTGAAACACAAATGTTTCATCATCCCGCCTCATGAAGAAAAAGGCAAAAAGGTTCAGGCATTTACCATCCGCCGTTGGAACAATGTTCTTAGCCATTTTAGGCCCGTTCAGCCCGCTACTCCTCCTTCCCCTCGGGATCCATCTCCTCCTTTTTCTGAAGATGATCCCATGGCTGAGGATGCTGAATGGGAAGAGCCCCCTGTTAACTCTCAGCAAGACCATGCTTTTCTGCGAGCTAGCATTGCAGGTATCCATGCTCGGATGGATCGTTTTGAGCATTCCTTGGCGGACTACAATAGAACAGTCTGAGAGGACTACTTGCGTGCGGAGAAGGACCGTCGTGTTGCAGCTGAGGACCGTCGTGTGGCACAGGATGAAAGGCGTGAAACTCAATCCCTTCTCAATGCAATCCTTGCTTGTTTTCCCCCTAAACCGTAGCTAGTTGCCCGTTCGTGACCCGTCTTTTGTTTTACATGTTTATGTTTCTATTTTCTGTTGCTGTTCTAGTTTTTGAACATGGGAATTTGTTTATGTCATAGTTGACCTAGTTAGTCATGATAGAATTTCAGTTCCTTTTGTAATCATGTCCACCTACTTTTGAATGAAAATTTCCTTTTTTCTTTTATTATCTATTAATTATTTTCTTTTAATATTTCATTGTTAATTCTATCTTTTGTATCTTTTCCCTGCTGTTTCTCTCAGTGTTCCCTTGCAGGTTGCACATTTCCAGTTTGGGGGCCTGTTTTTGTTGGACTTCGCATGGGAGATTTTTGTCCCTTCACCATGCAATTTCCTCCTATTCTTGGTATTTTTGTTCTTGTTACCCTCTCTAATTTTTCATACATGTTTGTTGTTGTCCCACATTGAGGACAATGTGTTATTCAAGTTTGGGGGTGCAATATTACATTTTTGGTATCGCATTTTTGTAAAGCAATGATAGTGTAATTTGAAACTTGTTGGAGATGAGGCATATGTTTAACATCTTGTGTATAGAAGCAATTGTTAAGTTTTGAAAATAAAGAAAAATTTGAATTTGAAATGATCATGTGAATGCAATTTAGTATGTATAAATGTTTCAATTAGATTCTCGTTGGATTTTATACTCTTTTAAGCTTCACAATGCACAGATGCACACCAAAAACTTAACTGTGAGGCATTGCAACTAAATCAACTTGAGGAAACCTGCAATGATGCATACGAAAATGCCAAAATCTATAAGGCAAAGACTAAAGCTTTTCTTGACAAACACATTGTCAACAAGTCTTTTGCCCCGAGACAAAAAGTTTGGCTTTTTAATTCCCGCTTGAAACTCTTTCCCGGTAAAATCCGGTCAAGATGGGATGGTCCTTATCTAGTCAATACTGTTTTTCCTCATGGTGCAATCGAGCTTC